GTAGTGCGTATAGACCGTATGGTATGTAGGTTTGTGTGTAGATTTGTAGGTACGTCGTACACTGGTACACTCGTACGTACGTAAATATGGTTTATAAATTATGAAATTGAATACTTGAATACTCCCGTATACGCTCCAATACACCCCTGGTTATTTCTATCTCATAGAGATATTTACTTTCAGATTTTCATTCAAATTTAAATCTTAAATCATTTAAAGACTTTTGTAAGTGACTCGACATTAATGACAAAAACAATATATTTTGACTTGACACCTTTTGCAAATATTACTTGGCTTTAATAACACCACTGATWAGGTTTTATAGAAGTCTTAGAGCCTACTAACCTTTTGCAGAAAAGTTTTTCCTTTATTTTACTCGATGTGGTGTATACGAGTTCTATGAAATGTATGATATACTGATTAATGCATACTATTTTTCCAAACTAGATATATTTTATTGAATTTGAAATATTTAAGTACTAATTTTTTTTTTTTACTTTTGTCAAAGATCTAATCATTTATAATTTCTTATCAGCCCATATTCGTCAGTCATATTTATTATTTTTGTATTAACATATAATGCTGCGGACTACATAATATGTCTATATTATTGTATTAGAATATTATAATAATCATGTATAAATTAAATGTTTTAAGAAACTGCATCATCATTATCCAATGTATTTAGTAACTAAAAATACAAATGTATAACTTTATTGAATATAAAAAAAATGTTAAGCTCAAAAATTAATGATTTGTGAGTTGAAAAAATAATGATATTCCAAAACACTATTCGATTAATTTATACATGATTATTATCCTATATTCGTCAGTCATATTTATTATTTTTGTATTAACATATAATGCTGCGGACTACATAATATGTCTATATTATTGTATTAGAATATTATAATAATCATGTATAAATTAAATGTTTTAAGAAACTGCATCATCATTATCCAATGTATTTAGTAACTAAAAATACAAATGTATAACTTTATTGAATATAAAAAAAATGTTAAGCTCAAAAATTAATGATTTGTGAGTTGAAAAAATAATGATATTCCAAAACACTATTCGATTAATTTATACATGATTATTATCCTATATTCGTCAGTCATATTTATTATTTTTGTATTAACATATAATGCTGCGGACTACATAATATGTCTATATTATTGTATTAGAATATTATAATAATCATGTATAAATTAAATGTTTTAAGAAACTGCATCATCATTATCCAATGTATTTAGTAACTAAAAATACAAATGTATAACTTTATTGAATATAAAAAAAATGTTAAGCTCAAAAATTAATGATTTGTGAGTTGAAAAAATAATGATATTCCAAAACACTATTCGATTAATTTATACATGATTATTATCCTATATTCGTCAGTCATATTTATTATTTTTGTATTAACATATAATGCTGCGGACTACATAATATGTCTATATTATTGTATTAGAATATTATAATAATCATGTATAAATTAAATGTTTTAAGAAACTGCATCATCATTATCCAATGTATTTAGTAACTAAAAATACAAATGTATAACTTTATTGAATATAAAAAAAATGTTAAGCTCAAAAATTAATGATTTGTGAGTTGAAAAAATAATGATATTCCAAAACACTATTCGATTAATTTATACATGATTATTATCCTATATTCGTCAGTCATATTTATTATTTTTGTATTAACATATAATGCTGCGGACTACATAATATGTCTATATTATTGTATTAGAATATTATAATAATCATGTATAAATTAAATGTTTTAAGAAACTGCATCATCATTATCCAATGTATTTAGTAACTAAAAATACAAATGTATAACTTTATTGAATATAAAAAAAATGTTAAGCTCAAAAATTAATGATTTGTGAGTTGAAAAAATAATGATATTCCAAAACACTATTCGATTAATTTAAGGAAAAATTTGATACCATTCGAATACAAAATGTAGGTATTCGAAATAAGAAAAGTCAAGTTGATCTGGTTGTTCTATAGAATAAAAAAATGTGCATTACTGTTGGGTTTTAGTTGCTGTTAAAGAATCGTTATTCTTCAGGTCTAGATGATAATGTGTTGGCAGTAGAAATGGGGTAGGAAATCGCTGGTAAAAATTGCTCGGCCATTGTTGGAAAGTTATATTGGATAAGTATGTTCCAATCATTAGATGTTGACCATATATAAACACTTGTTGGTGAGATGGTGATGGTGTTAAAAAAATCGCTCTCTGCTGTAACTGCTGTTGCAGATGTTGCTGTTGATGTTGGTATTGGAGTTGCTGTTGGTATTGGCGTTGTTGTTGATATAATTTGTGAAGGTGTTGTTGTTGTTGTTGTTGCTGCTGTCGTTGATACAGTTGATGTGGTTGTTGATGTTGCTGTGTTTGCTGTAGTTTCCAGTGATCTTGCAAAAAATTATAATCGTGCGTCGAAAAATCTGGAAATGATTATGAAAACCTTTTTTTAAATATCATTCAATAATTAATATTATTTTATTATGTATTTAATTAATTTTATGCGTACAATGGTTATAATAATTATAATAGAAATAATGGTAATTTACTAAGAACTTACTTTAATTTTATTGAAAAAAGTATAGGTACCTAGATAAATATAAAATTCATTAGCATTTTATATCCATCTTACACAAAATACAAAATAAATAAACACATAA